TTGTATGTTGCCCTGGCTGGTATTGAACTCCTGGCCTCAAACGATCCTCCTGCCTTAGCCTCTCAAAGTGCTGGGATTACAGGTATGAGCCACCATGTCTCACCTATATGGTGACTTTTTAAGACAGCTATCAATGACCATTGTTTTGGCGTCTCATCAAACTGAGTATATGAATTTGTGCTTTAGCATTAAACTATCAGCCTGTGATAACATGGATGCAAATTCATTACTATATTACAAGGCTATTAAGTAATTTTGTCCTTCTTCTAAGAAAATCTTGAGAATAAATTTCTCTCAGGAACAATATTAAGACTCACCTTTGGATTCTCTTAATTATTACATGTGTCAAAAGAGAACGTGACATCTGACCCATGCCAGAACAATTTTTATTGCCACTACCTCTAGATATATCCCACGGCACAGACAAGTAAGGGATATTCACACGGGTGAAGTAGGTGCCTTAACCGGACAAACTAGGCCTCAGGAGTTGGGGTCTTCAATATTCCTTCTCCTAATGAGGGAGCAGGTGTACATCAAAGGTTCTAAACAGGGTCTATTACACCATGCCAAGGAGGGGAGTGAATCTTTATACAAAGTATTAGCTAGGGATTTAGTTCTCCAATTAAATGTTATTAAAATCTTATTAGGGGAAAACAGAAAATACACCCCAGACACATTTCTGATGACAAAAAGCAGTAATTTTAAAAAGCCAATTAAAAAAGCCAACTGAGTTAGTCAATAAAAACAAAAGTTGGTTCTTTGAAAAGACTAATAAAATAAAACAGATAATCTTTTAGCAAATACAAACAAGAAAAAAAAATCAAATATTGGGAACAAAAGGAATGTAACCACGAGTACAGAGAAAATATTTCTAAAATTATAAATGATCATATACAATTTATACAATAAATTTGAAAGCTATAAAAATATAATTTACCAATGCTGGTCTAAATGGAAGAAACATTGAAATAAACCAATAACTAAAAAACTAAAAATAGTCATAACTCTACCCTGTCTTCCAAAAGACCAATTCCAGAGATTTATTCTCACTTCTAGCAAATTATCAAAAATCCACAAGTGTGGCAATGTATTCTTTTGGAGAAGCTATAGAAAACAATATGAAAGAAAAGCAAAGATCAGAAGAGACTATTTACTATGTAGGTAATAAATAATTTATTTATACATTAAGATAGAATATAAAAATGGAAATTCACATTTCAGAAATCATGAATAGCCAATAAACATTTAAAAACATCCCAATTTACAGATTTAAGAAGCCAAACAATACCAAGCAACATAAATACATTTTACAGTGAAACAGCAAAAAGCTAAAGACAAAAAATAAAAACAGAAACAGAGAAAAAGGAATTGGCAGACAGGTGACTTCTCAACAGCAGTAACTCAAGCCAAATGACAAAGGAATGAAATCTTCAGCACCCTATAAGAAAATAATTGCCAACCCAAACTTCCACATTCAGCAAAAACATCTTTCAAGAATGACAGTGAAGTAAAGATATTTCCAGGTAAACAAAAACTTAGTGTTCGTTATCAACAGACCTTCATGTAATAGCCATTCCAAAGGAGGTACTTTAAGCAAAAGGAAAATAGTCCCAGAAGGATAAAAGCAGCTATGAATAATGGAGAAACTAGTAAAAAGCGTGGGAAATACAAACAAGTACTGACTGTAGAACACAACAATAATTCTAAACAAGCCCTCTTCTATCAGGCAGGAATTTAATAAAGAATTCAGATACATAATAGTAACATATAAATCATGAGGGGTTGAATGATGTTAAAGTTCTAAGGTTCTTATATTTCATAGGAGGAAGGTAAAGATATTCGTTAACTTTAGATTTTGAAAAGTCAAGGAGGCATATTTCTTTCTTTCTTTTTTTTTTTTGAGACAGAGTCTGGCTTTGTTGCCCGGGCTAGAGTGAGTGCCGGGGCGTCAGTCTAGCTCACAGCAACCTCAAACTCCTGGCTCAAGCAATCCTGCTGCCTCAGCCTCCCGAGTAGCTGGGACTACAGGCATGCGCCACCATGCCCGGCTGATTTTTTCTATATATATTAGTTGGCCAATTAATTTCTTTCTATTTATAGTAGAGACGGGGTCTCGCTCTTGCTCAGGCTGGTTTTGAACTCCTGACCTTGAGCAATCCGCCCGCCTCGGCCTCCCAGAGTGCTAGGATTACAGGCGTGAGCCACTGTGCCCGGCCAAGGAGGCATATTTCTAGGAAAATTATAAAACGAAAAGAAGTATTTAACTCCCAATCTACTAGATGGGAAAAATGGAATAATAAAAGATATCAATATAAAAAAAATAACAAGAAAGGAGAAAAAAGAAATACAGGGCAGGAAAAATAGAAAACACAAGAGAAACTGCATTAAAAATAAATGGGCTATATGTTCTACCTAAAAATATTTTAAAGCGCATTAAAAAAAATCTAAAACATACATAAATCTACAGTTATCTCAAAATAGTTTAATAAATGAAAAAATAAAATATATACTAGATAGCAAGAAGGTACTTATGACAATGATGCCAATATTAAAATTTAGACAATGGACAGAGACCCAGAAAAATCTAATTTGTCAAACCTCACATAATTTTTCTTAAAAAATCTGAGTAGTCCTATAACCACTAAAGAAATCTGATCACTAGCCAAACATCTACCACCAACAAAACTTCAGGACCAGGTGAATTCAATGGCAAATTCTACAACTGGCTATCTACATGAGAATAAAATTAAATTATATCTGTACCCCAACAATGCACACAAACAATTCCAAGTATATAAACATGAAATGAAAATCTCTAAAATATTCTGAAACTATAGAATATCTTTACAAATAAAACATTGAAAAATTCAACTATTAAGAGTTTCTGCTCATCAAAAACCACAGAGAAAAGGTATTTACAACTCAATTATTATTTTTTTCTTTAATTTTTTGGAAACTTGAGTCTGTGCACAGAACCCATCTAATTATTAAGATTAGTACTCAGAGTATGTAAAGACATCCTACAGTCCATCAACCCATGTGAGAAGAAAAAAGTTTTTTCCATTCTTTCACTCAACAACAAACACAGAAGACTTCAGTGACAGTCATCAAGCAACGTGTGGGGATTTCTCCCCACCAACAATCAATCAATTTGCCAGACACCAGATGGATGTCTCCTAATTTAATTCAGTTCTGACACCACCTACCTGGAGACAGTGTCCAATCATACAGATTGAGGGGTCAGTCCCACAAGACTGAGCTCAGTTCCTATACCAATCCCAAGCCACAGTTTGTTTTACCCCTGACCTACCTCCTTCCTTGAGTCTAATTAATTTGCTGAAATGCTCAAAGAACTCAGGGAAACACTTAGATACATTTACCAGTTTATTATAAAGGATATTATAAAGGGTACAGATGAAGAGATGTGTAGGGCAAGGTATGTGGGAAGGGTTGCAGAGCTTCCATGTCCTCCTTGGGCATGCTGCCCTCCAGAAACCTCCACGAGTTCAGTGATCTGGAAGCTCTAGGTCTAAGATATGCACGAATGATTGATTAAATCATTGGCTATTGGTGATCAGCTCAACCTTCAGCCCCTCTTCCCTCCCCCCAAAGGTTGTGGGGTGGGGTTCAAAGTCTTTCCCCCTCTAATCAAGGCTTAGTCTTTCCAGTGGCCAGCCCCAATCCTGAAGCTACCTAGGGTCTACAGCCATCAATCCACTCATTAGCATACAAAAGGGCCCCATCAGAGATTTCAGGAGTAGTAAAATCCAAGTATTTTAGGAGGTGCACACTGGGAAGCAGAGCTGAAGACCATTTAAATATGTATCTCATAGTATCGAAGTCAAATTAAAAATTAAAAAATGGACAAAGGAGATATGAATAGTTGGTACAAAGGAAAAAAGGGTCTTTAACATGAAAAGATATTCAAACTCAGTCATAATAAAATGCAAATTTAATCTAAACCAAGATATCCCTTTTCATTTACCAGATTATCAAAAATCCACAAGTCTAGCAATACATTCAGCTGGGGAAGCCTTTGGGAAAACAATCACCCCAGTACACAGCAGATAAGTTCAAAATCCTAACAGAAGGCAGTTTAGCAATAATTAGCAAAATTTTTCAAAAACATTTATCTTTTGGGCCCTGTGCGGTGGCTCACGCCTGTAATCGCAGCATTCTGGGAGGCAAAGGCCGGCCTTGGATCACTCGAGGTCAGGAGTTTGAAATCAGCCTGAGCAAGAGTGAGACCACGTCTCTACTAAAAATGGAAACAAATTAATTGGCCAACTACAAATATATAGAAAAAATTAGCTGGGTGTGGTGGTGCATGCCTGTAGTCCCAGCTACTTGGGAGGCTGAGGCACAAGAATTCGCTTGAGCCCAGGAGTTTGAGGTTGCTGTGAGCTAGGCTGATGCCACGGCACTCTAGCCTGGGCAACAGAGTGAGACTCTCTCAAAATAAAACATTTATCTTTCAACTCAGTAATCACAGTTTCTGGAAATTAACCATATAGAAATACCTGCTTACATACAAAATGACAACTATATAAAGTTATTCCATGTACCATTGTTTTTAATAGCAAAAGACTAGAAACAACCAAATAATCCATGTATTGCAGGACTAGTTAAATAAACTAATTACAGCCACACAATGGAAAATTATGTTTTCCTGTGCTATAGGAGAGCAAAGTTTCTCATACACCGATTTATGAAGATTTCCAGGATATACTGCCATGTGCGGGGAAAAACAATGTAGTAAAGATTAGGGTAAGAAGAAGGAATATAAAAATATATACTCATATACTCCAAAAGCACTGAAGGAAGAACAGGATACTAAGAACTAGGGAGGTGGAGAATGAGTTGGATAGGTACAGGAAAGAATGATTTTTTTTTTTCCAATGTATCCCTTTATATTTTTTCAATTGTTTAAATAAACGATTCTAATCACTTTTAAGCAACAGGAAAATATCAACTTGCACATAAAACTGCATTAAAAAAAACTCCTACAAAATACTAAGAGAAAACACTGAATAGGAAAAGTGGGAAAAACATGATAAACACAGGAAAAAAATTCAACTGGCCAAAAACTATGAAAAGATCCTCAATATGTTTAAGTAAGCAGAGAAAGGCAGTTTAAAACCACAAAATACATCAGTTAACTTCCACCACACTGACAAAAATTTAAAAGCTGGACAATGCCATATTTGGAGAACAGGGAGCAAAGGATGATTTCATTCACTATTGCTGGAGGATGAATCAGAACCACCATTTTGGAAAAGTCAGATAGTATCTACCAAAGTTGAACATGCACATACCCTCCCACTGGATCCAGCAATTCCACTACTATATGCTGGAATATTGTGTATGTGCACCTGGAGACATGAATAAGAACGTTTATGGCAGCACTAATTATTAATAACCCAATGCTGGAAATAACCGTGTTCATAAATAACATGGATATATATTTTTATAGATTACTATATTTCAATGAAAATGAATGAGCCACACCAATGGTTCCCACAAGTGGTGATAATGCTAATGCATGTGATTTTTTGATATTATACAATGAAATCTATCATTATTTTCAAGATCTGTATAATTCAGTGAACCATTATATTTTCCAAATGTCCAATGTATGGGTGAAGGAGCCCTTCCAAGGGCAAAAGATCAATGGAT